TATTCTATTGATGTTATTTGTACCTTCCGTTCAAAGCAACTCAAAATTTCTGTGTTCTGTTTTCTTCTTAGGGCGTCGATGGTGAGGGCTTTTCTTACAATTTTCCTGTTTCAGCCTTTTGCCTTCCACCTTGCTGTGTATCCGTATTGCAGGCAGGCTCTTTCTACCATTTTGTCCTTGTCCAGTAGTAGCCCCTCTCACTGGTTATTTGATACTTGCTAACCTGATGGTGGGTGGTCGCAAAGGGCTCTTTGAATTCCCCATTCAGCCTCATTCTTAGGCCAGACTTTTGTCCCTATGCCTGACAGCTGGCAATTTCTCCGTGCCTCATCCTCCTTCTCCAGCACTGGGAAATCACTAATGGCCTGGGACCTGGATAATTGCCTGCCCTTCCTCTAGGATTCAATGGCTCTTTTTTTTTTTTTAAATTTCTTCCAGCTACTGCTGGTCCTCACGGTGGTCTTGGATGCCAGGATTTGCTTCCTTTTCTTCAGTAGCTTGAGACTTGTGTTCCTTCAGGCCTAGGTCAAACTTCATTCTTTTCTGTACTGGTGGCTATTCCCTTTCTGTAGAGCAGAACCGCCCAAGAGGACTTCCTTCACACCTTTTCCACACTCTTCTTTCTCGTGAGCATGCATCGGAAGTCCATGAAGAAGAACATATAAGAAGATATAGTTTCCCCTTGAATCTACAGGACTCACAATTTCTCTACTGTCTCAGTAGCCTACACTCAACCTTTAGTAATTTGTTAAGAAGTTTAGGGGTTTTTTTTTCTTTTAGTTTTTTGATTTTTAGTTGCTTTTTTCTTATCTATTTATATTTTATCTATTTGAATGGATGTGCTGTCTTTCTCCTGAGGGCCCAGGGGACTCAGTATTCATGTTCCCTCTCTTCTGGGAGTATGACACCATACCTTTGATTTCAGGCTGTTTGTGTACCCTCTTCTCTACTGCCTGATGGTTCAAGAAAATTCGTATGTGATTTTAGTGTTTTATATATAATTCTGCTATATAATTTTGCATTTTGATATTTATAACTTTTATACTTTTACTTTGAACCTTTAGTGATAAAGTGAAAACAAATATTTTAATAACTTTGCCAATTCACTTATATTTTCTAGAGCATAATATATGAAACCAAATTAATTTCTTCTTAAATTTTCAATGCATAATCATTAAATTATTTCTATGTTTTTAAAGTTTTTTTTCTTTTCTTTTTTTACTGATATAACTTGCATGATCATTTTCCTATGAATCCTAAAAGTATGTAATTCATTTAAATTTTTCAAACTTTATTGAGGTCTACACAGCTCCCAACCTATCTGTGGTTTTGGATTGCTATTTGCCTCGTAAAGCAAAGTAGAGGGTTTGTCTTTGGGGAAGACAAAGTTGTCTTCTCCTCTGAAAAAGCCTCCTATATAGTTGGCTTTGGCCTCTTCCAGGAATATGGAGGCAGGGATTGAGGCTTCATAAGTCTGGGTTTTCAGCTGAGGTAGAGAGAGAAGACCAGAAGGTCCACAGTCAGGTGCAATTACCTTCAGGAGTCACTATTTACTCAACCTGGGCTTCATGGCAGTCATAGAAGTGTATTCCTTAAGAGTAAAATAATAATGCAGTTAAAAAATAAAGTAAAAATTTCAAACTTTTATCACTGTGAGATTTTGTACTGGATAAGATATTACCTTTACAAAGTTTAATTTTCCAAGTCAAAACTTTTAAATCTAGATTTTTTGGAAGGAATATTAAATTGTTATTTAAATATCTAGGTAAGGAGCACCTAGGGGGTTCAGTCATTTGAGTGTTGGATTCTTGATTTAGGCTCAGGGTGTGATTGCCCCTGCTTTCGGCTCTTCCCTGACAGTGAGCAGAACCTAACTGGGATTCTTTCTCTCCCTTTCTCTCTCTGCTCATCCCCACTCATGTGCTTGTGCTCACGCTCTCCATCTCTCTCATTTTCTCCAACAATAAATAAATGAACATTTAAAAATATCTAGGTAATAAGAATTTTGTTTTACACTCTGTATTCAATATGGCCATTATCATCCTTTGTTGATTATTTTTAGCTTGTACAACGTCTTGGGGATCTTTGTAAATTTTAATTTCAATGGATGGGTATGGACATACTTATGCTTACATCTCTAGTATATTTTAGTTTATGCATTTTAGGTGTTATAATTTTTCTGTTACTTATCTTTACAGTAATATTTATTAGACATTGGCTAGAATTTATGTTTTTATTGTTAGAGCAAAGAGCAACAAACCTAACAGGGCAAAAGCATTCAATAAGGACACATGGTATGGATAAAATATATGACTGTAGAGGGTGGGGAGATGTTGAGATGTCGTTTCAGGCTAAAGAAAGTGTATGAATAAAGCCTAAAAACATGAAAGAATCATGAAACAAATGACAAGGAAAAGGGTGGGTAGTTAAGGATACTAATACAAAAGAAATAATGCAGTTATATTGGGAAAATTGGAGATAGAATACTCAGCATTTCAGGGTGGTCTGCAGATTTTGTGATTAATAATTGCAAAATGGGCCGTGTTGGGAAATAGTCTGGGATAGTTTCTTGGCAACCCTCCCTCTTTCATAGAAATCCGGGAAGAGGTTTGCAAGCAGTATTTTTAGAGTACAACATTTTCTTGGAAATATATTCCTTCCACAAATAGGAATCAGTGAAGTGTTTGCTGTGAGGCGATACATACTTATTCCTGAATCTTTATTTATTAGCAATAGTGTTGTGTCTGTATATACTAAGTTAATTAATTAATATATGGTCTTCAAACATGTCTTTGAGGGGGTATAGAGCTTTTAGATAGAAAAGTAAATATATTATTCACACACCCAAAATCAAAGATTTGTTTGTTATTTCACATTGACCAATGTAATTGTGTGTGTGTGTGTGTGTGTGTGTGTGTGTGTGTTTTGGTTAAGAGAATTGCTGAGCAGTAATTTAGTCCGATAATGAAATATACTGCCATCCTTTACATTTTTGAGATGGTCAATCCATTTTTACATATCTAGAAAAACTTAAAGGTATGTATATTTTGATTATTGGTACCAAAATCACCTCTAATGACTTTTTAAAAAATGTTTATTTGTTTTGAAACAGAGAAAGAGAGAGAGCAAGCAAGGGAAGGGCAAAGAGAGAAGGAGAGAGAGAATCCTAAGAAGACTCCAAGCTATCAGTATGGAGACCAGTGCAGGGCTTGAACTCACAAACCATGAGATCATGCCCTGAGCCCAAACCAAGAGTTGGACGCTTATCCGAGACACCCAGGTGCCCTACCTATAATAACTTTTGAACACCAAATGAATAGGCCTACCTTTACATCAATCCAAACTAAGAGATATATATTTTCAAAGATTTATGGATGAACATCACTCATTACTGATTTATCATAATTACCCCCAAATTTTATTCTATTTTCATTGTTACAACTATTAACAAATCCCAGTAAAGAACTGCATAGACTAATACAAAAAGAAGTAGAAGGGGAATAATCTGATGTTCACTTGTTATGTAGGAGGTTGATCGTCTTCATATATTCAATTCACTCATTCATTCTTTCCTTTGGAAATGTCTATTAAGTACCAGCAACAATGCTAGGCATGGTGAAGACAGCAGTGAATGAAACAAATTAAATCTCTTCCTTCACAATTGGCACGTTTATACGTGGGTGAAGTAGAACATAAAGTAAGTATGTATTAATTGATGGTAAGTACAATGGTGAATAAAGTAGGGAAGAAATGGAAGATATGAAGCGTGTCTTGTTATAAGGGGCAATTTTATTTGTCACTAAAAGACTAATTATGAAAAAATTTTAGCAACATTCTGATGTAGTTATGGGTGCAAAGTACTCATATATACCAAAGTGTATTACTCTCATATTTACCAAGAGTGTAAAAACAGTGGAGAAAACAAAATGTGATTTTGGTTCAGAAGCATGCCTGATCCACTGGTAAAAAACAAGTAAGCTATTGTCAGAATGTTGAAATTGACTCTGGGATAGGAAGGTGTTAAAGGATCTGCACAAAAGGATAAAGTGATATGACTGTATCTGTGGGGTCACTCTGGTAGCTTTCCAGAGCACAGTCTGTTGGCAACCAGGAGTATTAGCATTAGCTGGCTAATGAGTCATGATAATGGCCTGTTTCAATGTATTTGCGTGGGGGCAGTAGAAATGGTGAAATTCTAAATATATTATGAACAGAGAGACAGCAAATTATATCTATTGGTAGGATGTGAGAAAAAAAAAACAGAGATGATTTCAAGATTTTTGTTTCTTTTTTTCTCCCTGAGCAACTGAAAAGATAGAGTTCCCATGAACACAATGGGAAAGTCTATGTAATAATAGCAAGTTTGGAGAGAAAGATCAATATACCAATGTTGGGCACATTAATTTTGAGTGGGCAAAAGCAGATAAGTAAGGGCGATAAGTAAAGAGATCATACAGACTGTTAGATATGCAAGTCTAAAATTTCAAGGCAAATCCAAGCTGAAGGTATAAAGTTTGGGGTGATTATCATTATCATATATTTTGTATCAAAGCCATTATATTGGTTAAAAATTTCAAGTCGGTGAAAATAAACTTCCAAGTTGAAAAAAAATAATCTGAAGAAGTCCAAGGATAGAGCACATTTGAGGGTCAGGAGAAAAAGAATATAACCATCAAAGGAAAATGAGAAGAAAGAGTAAGATTGCACTTACAATCATGGGTTACTTTTAAATTGTCAGGCATTTTAATGTGATTTAATTTAATCATTGAAAATGGTATAGGAGAAAGAATATTGTGTTCCTTATACTGATAAAGAAAATAATTTGGGGGAATCATCTTACTCAAGATCATATATTTTAGGTATCGGAGATTGTATTTGAATTCTGGTGTGGAATTTCAAGTCAAGTAAATTTCGTTTCCCACTACTCAACCAAGTGAAGTTTCTTTCAGCATTTGTGCCTTTGGGTTCACTAGCTGAAAATATCAACCCTGGACAGTGGCTTAAATATTGCTTCACAAATTTGCATGTCAACCTTGCACAAGGGTCATGCTAATCTTCTTTGTATCATTCCAAGTTTAGTATATATGCTGCCGAGTGAGCACTAATACAGTCAAAACAATTTTGTAAACATCTTCTGAGGTGACACACAAAACCAATGATTTGGGGAAGATTTTGAGGTGAGTGAGGAGGATGGGAGAATTTGAAACAACAGAAAGGGAATGACAGGAAATGCAGAAAGCTTGGGGCTCTATAAATTAAAACCAGGCTTGAAGACATTGTTCAGTGAAATTTCTGATTGTCAAATACCGGGATGGGGCACTAAATTACTGATGCATAGAATACAAAATGATGTCTTTGTCAGAAGTGAGACAAATAGGAAAAAGAATGTAAAGAGCACAATAGAAGTTTTTAAAAAAGCTCAAGAAATAATTAATTAAATTCCTACTAGCTAGATAGTAGAGTCCATACTGGTTTAAAGACACAAATCTAATTCTATGATAATGGACACATCTCTTGTTTTTATGCTTCCTATTAATCCTCAAGTTTCATAGCTCTCTCCATGCAGGGATTTTGGGGCTTCCCCATTCCTGTGAGCACTTTATGTCAATTTTTATTAGTGTTTGCAATACGGATGCCTAATATCACAATAGATAGAGCAGTGAACTAAGATGTAAAAAAGAGGAAAAAAAAGATAAAATCTTCCACTTATCTTTTCAATATTCATTGAAGGATCTCTTCGACTCAGAACAACTTTGAATGCTAATTTGCATTATAGATATAATTTTTTGAATAGAAGTATTATGTCTTGTAAACAAACATGTGTCCAGAATTTAGACCTAAATAGACCCTGTGTGAAAAAGATGAGTTGGCAAAGTTATAAAATATCTCATCTCATCTCTATTTGGTATCTATCTATAATATTTCTGAGTTCTATAACATCAACTTTCAGACATGCACATGGCACAACTATGTCTTATAAAGCTCATTTTATCAATATTTATGAGTGCATTCTATGGGTCATGAAACTTGCTAAAAGTTCACAAGGACTAAAGACAATAAAAATATTTCAGGACAAACGTGAAATTACAAGGGCAACCTATTCTATGGAAAATTCCAGGACTGATGAGAAATAGGACTCTGGAGTTATTAAAATCCTAGTAAAAATATCTGTGGGTCATGATGTACCCACATGATGTGGTTTGAAGATAATTTTTCCATGAAAATATGAGAATATGATTTGCCTTTTTAAATTACACTGACATTTGCATTGATGATGAAAAAGAAGTGGTGGTGTATTTTACTTGCTGTTACTTGAAAAAAATGTCTGAGAAACTATGCTTACTCAAACTTGGGATTTTGGTACACCTTGTCTCCAAAGAAATGAAGTGAGATTCTCAAGTAGCAGTAGTTGTTGATATAAATTGAGCTCTCAAGTGAAAATTAGAACTTAGGAAAACTTTAATCAACCACTGAGAGCTTGACAGCTTTTCAGTTCATATACTAGTTTTCGACTGCTGTGTAACAAATTATCACACACTTAGTGTAAACTTGAAATAATAATCATTTATTAGTTCATAGGTCCATAGGGCAGAAGTCGATATGACACAGCTGAGAGTTCAGAGTCACATAGATCAAAATTAAGGTGTCAGCCAGGCTACGTTCCTCTGTGTATCTCAAAGTGCTTTTCCCAGATCACATGGTTTTTTGGCATAAGTAAGTGATTGTAGAACTGAGCTCCCCACTTTCTCATTGCCCATAAGCCACTGTCAATTCCTAGAAGTTACTCTCAAGTTCTTGCCATCTTCCCCTTCCTTCCCATCTTCAGAGCCAATAATGGAGAATCTCCCTCCTGTCAAATTCTCTTTATGGGTTTACCTAATTAGGTCAGTCTCATGAAAGGTAATCTCCCTTTCTTAAGGTCAGCAGTCCCACATAATATAATTTAATCATAAGAGTGAATCTTATATTCATGGGTACAGTTCATCCTTGAGGAGGAAGAAATAGGGTGCATACTGATGGTTGGGTGTCTACTAACTCACAGGCTCAGAACCGTATCATCCATGAGCATAGAGTGAATTTAAACCTTTGGGTCTGAATCATATTTTTTCAACCTTCTAAACATAAACAATCTTACTGTAAGTCTTCTTAGATAATTGGGTTATTCTCCAGTCTTCTTGAAATAATTACACTGTGCCTTTAGGAAGCTCATTTCAACCCTTATTTTAAGATAATCTATCTGAAGATGAAGCTAGAGGTTCAAAGTATGAAATACCCAATCTTACTCTCCTTATGAGTATTCTTTTTAATGACTTCAAGATAATTTTCAGATATCTACGTTTTTAGGAAAAATAAAAAGATAACCATAAATGAGTGCTCTTGCTATTAGGATTTCTGAACATAGAGCTCTAACACCACCTCCTCCCTCCTAAAATTCTTGCAGTATGGTAGAAACCAGAATGGTAAATAATCCTATTTCTAAATTACCCCTGGTCTCTCTCTCATACTGATGCTCAGAGTTTCTATATGATATGAAAATGATTTGTCCACGCACTGGTAATACCATTCATTGAGCACTCACACTTTACTAGGTCCTCTATAATGATAACATGAACCATATATTTCACCTATTTATTCAATGTTATACCCTATTGCTAAATATGTCAGTATTACTATGGTACAAGTATTATTCTAATTGTCCAGACATGGAAACTGAGGCCAGAGGACTGATATATCATGTCTAACATTCTGTGGTCTGTCTCACAGTTAGTAAGGGTCAAAGCCTGGTTTACAACTCAGGTCGTTTAATTCCTGAGACCGAATTCTGAATCTTTACATCTTGCCATCTCTCCTAAACCTCCTAATATAACCCAAAGATGTAAACTTCCATATGATAAGCACTGTATACAACTATTTTTTAAAAAATTTCTAACATCAGAGATCTGGTAGAGGACATAAGGAATCTTTTTATAGCAATTCTCAGGAATAGGAAGAATGACAGGAAAAATGTATTTAATTATCACCATTGTTTTGTAAATTTAGTTGGATACTTTTTAAAAATGTTTTTAAATTTATTTCTGAGAGAGGGAGAGAGAGACAGCGTGAGTAGGCGAAGACCAGAGAGAGAGGGAGACACAGAATCTGAAGCAGGCTCCAGGCTCTGAGCTGTCCGCACAGAGCCCGTCGCGGGTTAGAACCCACGAACTATGAAATCATGACCTGAGCCGAAGTTGGATGCTTAACTGACTGAGCCACCCAGGCGCCCCATTTGGATACTTGTATATGTAACTTCTACTATAGCTAATATTTATACCTGGATTTTCTATTATTCTCCTTGAATGTTTGGAGGACCAAAGGTCCAGATTATTATTATCTTTTCACTCTACATCTTAGAAGTAAATCAGATATTCTTCCCAGATGTTCAAAGATATGTCACTGCCTATATAAAGGAAAATCTTGTCTTTTTATATAATGCTAAGCAGCATATCACATTATCAATGTCTTTCCTTAAGTAAACCTCCATAGTTGTAGAACTAAGTTCCCAGATGCTGACAGGAAATGAAACGACCTCTCAAACTTTCCCCTACCCCCAACATTGAAGACGAATAATTTGGCTTTAATGATTACAACATGATGAAAAATGACTTTTAGAAGAGACTCTGAAAACTAGGTGGTTCAGCATGACCTAATAGACTGAACCAAGACCAAAGAGTTTAGATTAGTTGTTCAAAGTCACACAGCTAATTAACCACAAAATATGAATTCGAACACAGGTCTCCTGATGAGAAGCCTGTCTTCATCAGGATTATGTGATATCTAACAAAGCCAGGGTATATTAACATAACCACATTTCATGACCTTTCCCCATTCTGTGAGCACCTGAAAATAAGAACTAGATTTTTAAATGTATTCTATTTTCTCCCTAACTTTCTTAAAATAAAAAGTTGAAGTGAAAGAAAATCATGTTCTATAAAGTACTTGTTGACTTGAATAACAATCATAAAGCTGTGAAAACAGAAACTTCTCTTGAACTTAATTATAGATATAGTAGTAGTTCTTTGCAGTCTGTTCTTCATTTGCATGAATTATCTTTTCAAATTTAAATGTATTAAAGGAAGAAAAAGTGATTGTTAAACAAATCTACATACATTAAGCAGAGCTTTTTTCCCCCCTAGGCTTCAAAAAATGCCCCATTCTGCATTGGGGTTTGAAGAAATAACAATATTAATTCACAAAGATTTATATAGCTTTGTGATTATGAACAGGGAAAATGTGAGAAAAGCCAAAGTTTGCAAAACAAAATCTCTAAAGTAAGCAAAAATTTCACATCAGTCAGAAACATTAAAGCTTGATGCTTTAAAACTCCAATTGCTAAGCCTTGGGCATAAAACAAGAAAACGATGAGGTTGACGGAATAAAACACACATTCACCAATAGTTGGCAGGTTTTGAAAAGGTTAAGATATGAATTTTGGTCTTTATATACATATAAATATGTATTTACGCTTGTCTATAGGTATCTAAAATTATTTAGAAGTACCTTTATTCAGGAAAATGGAAAATATAAAAAATATTCACAGATTGAAAACGCAATAAAAGAAAACACTAAATGCAATATTTGGGACAAAATATTTATTCTTGTGATGGCCTTTAAATATCTAAAAAACACTTTAAAAATACAGTTCTTGACATAGAATATTTAGAATTTGAAATTTAACTTTTGCTTTTACATTAAATGTGGAAGAGCATTTCCTTTTTCTTAATCAGATGCAGTTTCATGCCCACCAAGCAATGTTCAGAAAAGGCAGAGCTGTCATCAGAAAGCCAATTAATGAGGGAGGTTTAAATTCTACTTGTAAAAAGAACTTGATAGGACAAATACACGATCTTGCAGCTAACGTTTGAGAGTTGGACCTTGAATGAAATGGGTCATTAGAGTCCTTATCAATGCAATGTCACTTTGGAAGATGTCAGTTAAGACTATCATTCTGGAGAGCTCTTTATTTATTAAACTAAAAAATATTATCAACCGGACTAACTGTGGCAATTGTTTTGCAATATATATCAACAGCAAAGCATTATGTTGAACACCTGAAATTAATAGA